GACAGTTTGATCTGAGTCTATGCATGACATTCACCTATGTCTCCCCCTCATCTTTCTCCATTTTATTCTTCACTATGATTCCTATTCTTAACACTATTTCATATTTAGTGAATATTTTAACATTTTACATACAGTGAAGTCAGACGTATACAAAATTAACTAAAATGTATATGCCATAATGTTGGGTCCATGAATAAATGTGTAGTGCAAACATTACCCACAAGCAATAAATGGTTTGCGTTAAAGTGCAGACACACACTGAACGTGCTATGCATACACCCTTCCTTTTGCAAATATCTATTATTCATCCAGTGTTTCAGGAATTAAACTGCAAGACCAGTAGTCTTTTTGACTTAATATTCTTTTTCAAAAGTGATAATAAACAATTCACTTTAGGAATAAATGTTAGTTTCTTAGTACTACTAGGACATCATTTATTTATCCAAAAAAAATCAAAGTCCTGTACCTAACAGGAGTTACTCTAATAGCTTCCTAAAAATGGCAGTCATAGAACTAAATTAACAAAGTGATCATCTCTTTCTTCAAAGGGCTTATGGTCTAGTAGGAGGAAGAGAGACCTGCAAGCGATTCCTCTGTAGTCATAGTAACACGGGACCATCACTATGGTGGAGCCATGTATGACATGTGGAGGCAGCAACTGTGTGAGCTCGGGGGAGTTGGGGATAACTTCACAGAGGAGAGGGTGTTTAAGAAGAAGCTTATAGATTAAGGAGAGCCACAAGCAGGGGATGATGATGAGGAAGGATCATTCCAGAGAAGGGAAACAGCATGGCCTAAGCATGGAGGAACAAGAAACCAGGGAGTGTTCAGAGAATAAGTAAATTAATTCAGTATGAATATGTGAAGATGATGTTAGAAGAGGAAACAGGCCAAATAAATCTGCAAAAGAGCAGGGCTGATCTTAAGAACCTGTACACCTTGAAAATGACTGTTGATGTTATTCTGTAGAATGTCACTGTATTTTGAAGTCTAAAGTATTTACATCTTGTGCTTTTAATTAATATTCATTAAAGTTAATAATGCAAAGGCCTAATTTAAGTACTTAAATTCACATAATATAACTTACTATACCCTATTTCTACATCTAGTAGTTTTTATTAAATAAGAATAATTCAGGGGGATCTTTGATTAATGATTGGACAACTCAGACTAAATTCTTGCAAATCAATAGTTATATTTATAATAAATTTAGGTAATTAAACTCCCTTACACCTTTTACATTTCATGTATAAATTTATATGAATTTTATTTTTAAGCATTTCCAATACTTCGCTGAACAAATTTAATAACTCCACCAAGAAAAACCCTCTCAAGAACTTAAATGAGTCTTATAAGTCTACTAAACCACATCCGGTTCTCTTAAATATTCGACCTGCATTTGCAATTGGATTTTTCTTATACTTTTTTAAGGAACATAATTTATTTTGAAAAATTTTAAGCATATGAAAGGCAGGGAGAGTAGTATAATGAACCCCATTTCCCCTTCCCCAACTTCAACAATTATAAACTCATTACCAATCTTGTTTTTCATCTGTGCCCTACCTACTTCCCTCTTCTCATATTATTTTGAAACTAATACCAAACATCGTATAATTACACCCATAAATATTTCAGTCAGTATCTCCGAAATTAGACTGTATGTATTCATATAAAACAACACGTCATTGTTCAAATTTCCAATAGTCTCTTAAATCATGTTGGTTTTTTGTTTGCTTGAATTAGAATCTAAGCAAAGTCTATAACTTGTATGTTTTGTAATCCTTTTTCAAGCTATAGGTTCACCCTCTATTACTTTCTTTTTATTTATTGAGACTTATTTGTTGAACAAATCACGTTGTTTGGGGGCATTATTGTTGCCCACAGTCTAGACGGTGCTGATTGCTTCCTTGTAGCACAGCTTATGTGGTCCCGTTCCTCTGCGTTTCCTGCAAATTGGTAATTGGATATAGAGGGGGGCTTGATCAAATTTAGTTCTATTTTTTTAATTAATTAATTTGTTTACTTAGGTAAGACTCCTTCCTAGGTGATGGTGTATTCTTTCATTAGGAGCTCCTGATTTTGGCTGACTCTCTTCTGTGAGGTCATCAGCCTCTACGCTCAGCCCTTAGAGTCCTTGCTTTTCAACCAAAATGATAAAGCCTAACTCACAAATTTTTAAATGATGTGACACAGAATATCCAACTGAATATCTACTGTAACAAATCTTCTTAAATACTACAAATACTGAAAATATTGGATGCACATATTTTGTCCCAATGATTAGAAAATTTATTTCACAGATTTTTGTACCATGGGTTTGAATTACTTCATTGTTTCTGTATTTAATTCTGAATCTTCCAAGATTAAGAAAAACAAATGTTTTTTTCTCATTAAGAAAAACAAATGTCATGTCAAGATCAATCTAACTGGGTCTTTACATGTAACTAAACAATAAGATGTATGTGTGTGTGTGTGTATATATATATATACACACACACACACATATGTTAAATTTTAAATGCTTAATTTTTTTAAAATGAGTTTGTTAGATAACAGTTTATGATCACATACGTTTATCATCTTGGGTGGAAACAGATATGCATGTCCATGGCAATTCTTCCTGAGCCACAAGTGTACCCACTAAGCCCTTTTTTATGGTCTCAGTGATAACAAGGCACTTCCAGTTCACATTCTTTCTTTTTTTTTTTTCCATAGAGGTACTGAGAATTGAACCCAGGGATTCGTGCGTGCTAAGCATGCACTCTACCACTGAGCTGTGCCCACTGCTCCCCTGCCCCCCATATTGTTTAAACAGTGATAATTTTGCAGTTGGCATCTCCTGGGTTTAAGTAACACTCTTTCTTAATTCTTTAAGTGGCTACAGTATTGAATATGACATTGACAGAATCATATTTCAGTCGCTTTGGCAGCAGTGTGAAGGAGGGACCGTAAGGGTAGAAAAGATGAAGAGTAATTCTCATCATTGGAGACTGTTCGGATCCACATGAGAGATGATAGAGTCCTGGTCTTGTGTCTACCAGGACAGAGGAGAGAAATGGAAGGAGAAGTGAATTATAGGTGACGTTAAATATGCAGAACTTGATTGATTTGATGTGGGACTGAAGAACAGTGAGAAATAATGGATGACTTGAGGCTTAGGAGGATATGTGAATTGTGGTGCGGTTCACCGAGGTAAGAAACCTAGTAGGAAAAACAGGTTTAGGCTGGGATAAAACAGGGGAAACCTCAGCTTCTGGGATGCTAATATAGAGCCGGCAGTGGGACATACAAATAAAGATCGATAGGTAGATGGATGGATGGATGGATGGATAGATAGATAGATAGATAGATAAGATTGACAGATTGATAGATAGATGGATAGATAAGTCTGAAACTCAGAAGGGAGGCCTGTGTTAGAGATTTCAATATGGAAGTCACCGACATTAAGATAGTATGTGAGGCTGTGGGGGTGTATGAGGCCATTTAGGGGCAAATGTAGAGTGAAAAAAAAAATGAGGAAGCCAAGACCAGAACACAAATGAACACTATCCCTTAAAGGGGAAGTCAGAGAAAATTAACCCGCAGAGGAAGTTGTGGGATAGTGACCAGAGAGACAAGAAGTCAGCCAGGAGAGATTTCTCATGGAAACAGAGGAGGATCAAGAAAGGCAAAATGGCCAATACTGTTAAGGGCCAGAAGCAATGAAGTGAGATGCAGGCTGAGAAGTGTTTAGTGGATTTGGTAATTAAGTCTTCTAAGAGTGGTTTCAGTGAAGGATTGACGGTAGAAGCCAGATTGTAGTCAATAAAGAAATGAGTGAGAGGAGAGGAAGTCAAGTTGGTAAATATGGACAGCTTTCTCTACTTTGGCTGGGAAAAGGAGGATGATCTTTTGGTGATGTGGAGGATTTAGAAAAGTCAAGAGAAGTGTTGGTCCTTTATGAATGAGTCACTTGGGCTGAGGGAGAAAACAAGACTGAGATGTTTAAGGATAGGGAGTGAAAAAAGAGGAACAAAATAATAATAATAAATAATACGCTGACACACAAAAGGGAATAAAAGGAGTGACATAACCGATAATTCAGATAGGATTCAGAACACAGGTGGAGAAGAACTTAGGGGGAGGTAAGGAAAGGAATCACTGTAGATAAGTTTGTGGGTTAAAGTAATGTATTTTCTTAAGAGAGTCTGTCCCCAATAACTGCTCTTTTACCAGTGAAATAAGAAACAAGATCATCTGATGATAGGGGAGAGGAGAGGAATAGAAGATTTGAGGGAAATAGTGAAGGTTTTGCATAGCCTTTGAGAAGGATGATGCAAGAGAGGGTTGACTAGATAAACAGTGTAATGATATTCTAGAAGAGTGCTCGGGTACAGCTGATATTGAATGCTAAGTATTTGTAATATCCAGAATCAGTAAAATGGCAGTTTTACCCAGCTATGCTAATCAACCTAACACTAAACATAGAAAATATAGATGGTCCCATAAATCATTAAGGACTTGTGGGGCCTAAGTATTTACTGATAAGAGCAGTTGGAGTGAATGGTTTGGAATGAAGCACCTTGGAGTCCAAGTCACAGCTGATAGAAGCAAAGCTGGGTGGAGAACATCTGGAAAAGGTGAAGGAGTCAGGATGAGAACTAGTGCTCTTTGGTGTCTGTACAAGACCATCATATGCCTTCAGAACCCCAGAACTGACTTACTGATATACTGCCATTTTAACAGAAAACATTACTGCCCTGTAGCAATGGATTAATTGTAGGTGTTCACTTTGAATGTGCTGTACTCAAGCTCCCCGATTCTCCATTTTTTTTCTTTTGCAGCAGTAGCAGCATAAACATAAGGCTAACACCTATTCCTTTGACTTCTGAAGTTTTAAATCAGAGCAGATATGAAAGAGAAAAGAATTCTCCAAGAATGATCCTTTTATTCATTTTTCTTTTTTATTATAAGCTGAGTGTCTACTTGTTCCATTTTCACTTTTTCTTTTTTGTTTTCAGAAGCTCTGTCAATGAAGACAATCAAGATAATGTCATGTACTCTGATGGTAAGTGGCTAAAAGATGTTTATTAATTTGTTACCTCAGATATAGAAGTCTGAGTTAATTATTCTCATAGGGTTATTAATGGGTCATTATCATCATTATTCCATGTAAGACCCCTCTCTTGTTTTACTTATTTGTTTACTTCCTTTTATCTCCATGAACTAGCCCTTTTCCTTTCTTCCCCTTACCAGAGACATATACTCTAGTATAATTAATGTGTATGTGTCTTTTGTATGTATTCTTTGCATATATTCTTTGTGTGTGTACATATATATTTCAATTTACATGAACAGTATATTGTAGCTCACTCTGGTCTTTCTTTTTTTTTATACTCAGCATAATGTGGTTTTGAGGATCCATCCATGTTGGATATGTACATTTAATTTGTTTCTGTTAACTGCTGCACAGCACTCCATGATATACATTCACGTTTTACCTCCAACTCACTGGCACCACAAATAATAATTCAGTGCACCTTCTTGTTCATATCTCCATCTGGACCTCTGAGAGACTTTCTTTCAGATGTATATCCAGCAGTAGAATGGCTGCTCCTAAGTTATGGAGTATTCATTTTGACTGAGTAAGACTAGAGTGCTCTCCAGAAGAGCTGCGTCTGTGTATATGCCCATCACAGGGCTTGAAGATGCCGAGATGCCCGCCTTTCACCAGTGCATGGCATTATGCAGCCTTCCAGTTGTTTCCAGCCCTATGTGTATAAAATGATGTCCCATTTCATTTTCATGTCTCTGCCTGCTATTGAGTTTGAGTACTTGATTTGTTTATTAGCCTGTGTGGTCTCCTGTTCTGTACGTTGCAGGTCCCTATCCTTTGACCATGTTTTTCCTTGGGATTGGTATCGTTTTCTGGTTGACTTGCAGGAGTTTGTTTGTATTCTAGGTATTAATCCTATGTCAGTTGCAGACATGGCAAATATCTTCTCTCTTAGTCCATGCTGTCCTTCACAGAGCAGAAAGAAATTTTGATATTATCAAATTCATTCATTTTTACTTTGTAACTTATTTATGCTCTTTAAGTTCTATTTAAGAAATCCTACCCCTAGGACATAAAAATAACATCTTCTATTTTCTTCTATGAGTGTTTTCCCTTATTTTTAGGTCATTGATCTCTTTGCAGTCCACCTTTGAGGATTTAGTAGAAATTGAGATTTGTTTTTGTGTGTGTGAAGCCAGTTTTCCCATTAGTATACTCTGAAATCTACCCTTTACTCATTAATTTATAGTGCCACCTTTACTATATTAACTCTGTTGGTGTGTTTCTGTTTTTGCATACATAGGTGTGTTACTGTGTGCATTACGTGTGTGTATATATTTGTGTATATGTAAAGTTGTGGATCTGTCTCTGGGCTCTCTGCTCCAGGTCTGTTTGTTCCTAAATCAACCACACTGCTTTTATTATTATTGTTTTAGCTTATGTCTTAATACCTTGTAATTTGTTGATATTTACTAAACCCTTGAGCAGTAAAATAACTTTTAAAAAAATTGAATTAACTTGATTTGTTTGATACATGAAAGCAAAGCCTTGGAAACAAATAAGTCAAAAAGTATAAATGAATTGTGATTTTCTAGTAATACCTTTATTCCACACAAGCCCACAAAACTAAATGCATGCCTTTCATAAAAAGAATGAAGGGTGTCTTCATTATTTTTTGGCTTTTGCATTATTTTATGAAAACCAATGAAATGAGTTTGTAATTAAATTAAAAGATATGGAAAAGCCATAGTAAAGATCTAAATCACATATTCTATTTAGTACTTCTCTACCTTCGGTAAACTGTAAGTTCTGTTAGATTATGAATGTTTTGAATATTATATTATATCTAATAATCTTGTATTAAAGCATTTCTTAGTTATAGTATATTAAATTGTATTCTCTTTTTTTTTATCACCTTAGGTACTGGAAATCTAGATGAGGTCAGTTTCTTTCTTCCTTGTCATAGTATATTGCTGTAACTAGAATATTTAACATTTCTTATGAATCATTTTCCATTGGTATAAACCAGCAAATGAAAATTCTTATGAGTAATGGTGATGTATTTCCATTTGTAATCTCACTTCATCGAAAATGCTTGAGACATTAAACACCAATCATTAAGTGACTCAGAGTAATTTTGTGGCACTGAACACACACTTAAATCTGGATACACATCTGAAATATATAGCAGGATTTAAAATGAAATATTTTTGTGCTTTCTTTCCAAGTCTATCTCTAAAAAGAAAAAAAAATTTTTTTAAACGAGCAGAATTTACATATACTTAAACTTATGCTTGTTTTACTGAGTGTTGGAGCCACATAATATATGTATGTTCCCTTTTTGAATAATTAAAACTAATCATTATTCATGTTTTTCTCAACAGGAACAAGACAGTGAAGGAGAAACATATGAAGACATGTATGGGTTACATTTTTTCACCTTGATATTTTCCTTCTAAGATGAATATAATGATGATGATGAAGGAGAACAGAGGGACAGTCAACACTAGGAGGAGGGGGAAGCTGTACTGTTCAAATGATGGGCATGTAATCATAACCCTTAGTTCAGTACAAAGGATTAAAGATTCTTTTCTTGTCGAAGGATTTTGCAGACGACTCTGTCAAAATGCCATTGTCTGAGAGGGCAGAGGCCCGGAGCTAGACCGCAGGCAGGGAATCACAGGCCAGGAATCTGTATATCTTGCTCTCAGTGTGTCCTTGGGCAAATAAATTCATGTCTAGGTTACAGTGTCTTCCCTGAGGTAGTGCTTCACCTCCCAAGGGTGCTTTGCAAGACAATGTAGCACAGCCCCAGATGCCAAAGTTTCAGCCTCCTAAAGCAGAAAGACGTTAAAAATAGTTCCAAAATGGGTTTCTGGGTAGCCCAGGACTAAAAAATTTCTTGGAAAATGAGTGAAAGCAGAAACGAATATGTTTATCTTATTTTGTCTTTTGTGGATTCACATATCTTAATTTTCTCTACCCAGTGCTTACTCGACTAATTCTGACTAATGTTTCTGAACAAAGGCTTGCACATACAGACTTGTGGGTGCCCTTGTACCAGCGAGTGTACGCGCTTGAGAGAGAGAGAGATTAATACTATTCATGCCAACATGCTGTAAGAACAGGGTCTTAGGAGCAGTGCCTTCCACTTGCTGGCACAGCTGTAAGGGAAGCAGAGGCTTTGGAGGGCACCCTCACTTGTGTGCCTCCTACTGGTCTAAAGAACACTCTCACGCACCCAGGAAAATTTTGAGAAGCCTTGGCCTTGTGCCTTCATCTCTACTTCAGATACCTTCCTCTGTCATGAGTAGAAGCCTCTCAGGATGGTGAGCCCTAACCCATCAATGCCAGAGGACGCTGAAGCAACCTAACAATCTTTATCCACAGAGAAGCATCCAAAGAAAGAGAGAAGAAACGGGAAAAGGAGGAAAAGAAGAGACTAGAGCTGGAGAAAAAGGAACAGAAAGAGAGAGAAAAGAAAGAGCAAGAAATAAAGAAGAAATTTAAAGTAAGCGCTTGCTGGCTGTTGGGTGAAAAAGTGAAACCTTTTTTTAGAACTTTCACACAAAAGGGGGCCCCCTTTTTGAAACCTTACGTGGTTGGAGAATTACTCAGCCGTTGGTTTCTAAAGAGTAACTGCCTTCATAACAGTAATGTTGTCGTCCAATACACTCCTTTATCCCGGCACTAAAAATGTAATACGGTGAAATCCAAACAAAAAACGGTGGCTTATAAATTGGATAAAATCCAAATAAAATATGGCAGGAGCTCAGGAAATTTTATGTTGATTACTCAAACCCATCTTGGTTCTCCTTGTTACACATTTCATGTTAACCTACACGCAACAGGCGCTTGGGACCACACATGTATGTATCCCTGTGGCATGAACGACAGGGTGCCAGGGGCAAAAGTGTCTCTGGATTAACCAGACTGGTCTCGGAATAAAGTCCTCTGAGCTATTCTAACTGCTGGTATCCAGACCCGACTTTTTTTTCTTTTTACTTAGTTTAAGCCTTTGTACATGTTGACTTCTGATACCCGCTGTTTCTCTTCCTTCTTCATCCACCAGGATTTCTGACCTCTCTCTTCTCTGCTTCCTAGTTTCTAATTGTGTGACTTCTGTTACTACCGCCACTAACACTGCACATGCTGGCTCTTCTCTCTTGGCTACTCCATCTTTGGTGACATGGTCCATGTGGTGTAGGTCTGTATGTCAGCTGTATTTAGAGTGATTATATGAGCTACAAACCTATTCTTCACTTTAAAAAGAATTCATATCAAGTTTCCTTTAAATATTTAATTCCTCCAGAACATTTAATACATGGTTTGGATTGTAAAAAAATGTGATTTATATATAACTTCCCAGTATATGTATTATCATAAAACAAAGATTTAACAGCAGGGCATAGGGAAAATATAAAGCTTGGAGTTAGTTGAACAATGTGGATTCAAATTCTAGCTGCACGTGCGAGTTATGTGACCATGGACTTACATGTAAACTTCTCTGAACCTCAGATCTTATTTTTAAAGTGAGTAAATGATACCTCTCCTGAAAGTTTGTTATGGAATTAAATAAAATAATGCATATAAGTCATTGTATCTATTATGGGTTCTTGTTAAGTTTTGCTTACTATATATAAGTAAAATTAACACTACAATATAAATATTAAAACATTTTACTCATACAGAATGTATGGATATCAATGTTTATATTTTTCAGGTAGAAAATATGAAAAATTAATTTCTTAGATGAAAATCTTTATAACACATTTTATGAAGAGATGGTTTATAGTTTTGAAGGGATTATGTGAAACATTTCCTTGTATTTCCTTTGGACAAATCAATTTTGCATTGTTTCACTCATTCATTCAAATGATACTCAAGTGATAAATGTTGATAAGAAAAAATTAGGGCATAGAAATCATACCATCAAATATGAACTCAAAAGTTTGTCAAGACTGGGACTTCACATGCTATATTCCTTCTACAAAATGTTAATAGATATTAAAATTAAGGAAACGAAATAAATGTGAGAACTGTTACAAAGCACCACATTTCATTAATTCTAAGACTAAGTATTTCGCATTTTGAAATTCCGAAATTAGGATACATCTTAACATCATTGGCATATCATTTAAATTAAGCTGTTTTCTTTCTTTCGTAGTGGTACATAATTAATGATCTGTCTCACAATTTGTAGCACTACAACTTCAATAAAATAAAGTAGAGCTTATTCAAAAATCACAATGCATATTTGCATATCAAAAGATCCAAGAAGTCAGCTTAAAAGACACCAATTTAGGATTAGAAAATTAGGAGTTTAGGATGCATGGCCTCTAAACTAGATCATTCCCCTGCTGTCAAGAAACCACTGTACTATTCAGGATGTTAGTTTTAAATACCTCACATAGTATATGTATGCTATTTTTTAATTGACAAATTTATTTCTAAACTATCTTGTTTATGGCAGGCAATGTCTACTCCAAGATAGACAAATACCACACAGTTTGAGAAAAGAAAAGAAAGCAAATGCTGTTCCCATGAGTACAAGCAACCACCACACTCCCTCTGCTGTTTTAGGCCTGCAGAGAACCATCTGCATAGAATAACTGCACAGAGCAAAGAGGAAAAGAACCTCTGCCTACCAAGCAGACCACCATCATACCCCATAAAAACACGTAGCACTCAGCATGGATTATCATACATACCAGGTATTCGGTTATCAGTGGCTTCCTCTGCAAGTCGTTCAGAGTTCCCCAGGTCAACAGATCATTACCCCTCTCTCTTGGCCCCCAAGCACAATGCTTATGCTAGTCCTGCCTCACCTCTGTGGTTTTTCCCTAACCCCTGCTATAGGAACATTAACCAGGAATGACTTTCATCCTTACCTTCTAGTTGAAAACTGTAAATGTTGGAAATAGGCTGGTTGGCAAGTGGTGGACATACTGTCTTTCAAAAGTGCATTCCTTGAAGATTTTCTGAATAGTAAGGAAGCTTGTTGTGATTTTTTTTTCCCTCTTTGCAGCTAACAGGCCCTATTCAAGTCATCCATCAAGCAAAAGCTTGCTGTGATGTCAAAGGAGGAAAGAATGAACTAAGCTTCAAGCAAGGAGAGCAAATTGAAATAATCCGCATCACAGACAACCCCGAAGGGAAGTGGCTGGGCAGAACAGCAAGAGGGTCATGTGAGTGCACATTTTCCTGTAACTTCAAAGTGTTTCCTTTTTGAGCCAATGCTAATGTGAAAATTCTTCCAAAGCTACTCACAAGCATTAACTTGAGAGTATGTCACAGGGTAGACAAAGATGGGAAGATTTTAGGTAGAGCTCCACCTTCCCCTCATCTGTGTTATCTTCTTAGTGGGGAAAAATGTAAATATTTATATTATCCCAGGGAGGAGCAAAGAGCATTATGTTCTTCACTGATGTTAAAAGGCAAAAATGATTCATGTAAATCACTTTGGAATCTTGAAAATAGACTCTAGGTTTACCCCAAACCACAACAGCACAAGATTTGACAAAAGCCAGTGAAGAAAAGTGTCAATGTGGGAAGTCTATAAATCAGAATCGTGAGCAGAGGAATACAGGGAAAATTTAAAGAGCAAATGTGCAATTGGTATTTTATTCACAATTCCAAGACAGTTGAATTGCAGTTACCTGAACATAAATCGTTCCCCTTTTGATAGATGGCTATATTAAGACAACTGCTGTAGAGATTGACTATGATTCCTTGAAACGGAAAAAAAATTCCCTTGGTGCTCTTTCATCAAGACCTACTGAAGATGACCAGGAAGTATATGACGACGTCGCAGAGCAGGCAGATACTAGCAGGTATGTGTAAACACAAACAGTAGAGCAAATCAGACTGCCTCCCTGTCTGAGATGATGTATTTTAAGATACTAGAATTTTGCTTTCCATACTTCCTGCTGCTCTCTCTCTCTAAACTAAATTACCATTTATAGTCATTTCACTATGGGTCAAAAGTCACTTGAAACTCCACAGTCTTTTAGTTTACTCTTTGGTTGTATATATCAAGTACTACTTGAAATATAATGGGCCATTTGCCAGAAGTTGCCAAAGGTGTTGCCAATCCAGAAAGCTGTTTTACAATATTCATTCTGATTTGATCTTAGGGATACGCCTAAAGTAAATACGATTTCATAAGATATGAAGCATGAAATTTAAGTTAGCTCTGAAAAATATAAAACTTTTTGCTCTGAAGTCTCTAAGTCTAAATATATTTGAAAGTATAACAGAAAAAAATGCTTTTTTACTACAGCTCTACTCTTTAAGAGTAAAAAAGTAAAAGCTCAATCCCCCGTGATCCCTGGGAATCAACTAAGGGTCCAACTTTCTGTGGCCCATTCATTCCACTAGGTTAGTGTGACTTTCCCTGCAAGAATTATGGGAACACCTTCCTGGGGCAGAGGAACAGAACAAGACCTCCTTTCTGGAGGAGCCAAGAGTGGAGAGTGGCCATCTTGTCCCGCATCCCTCTTCTTCCCTTTTTCCCCTTCTCAGTTACCAGCTTCCTTTCTCCATGCCTCCTCATCTCTTTTTCCTAGCTCTGACCTTCCTTGTCCTTTCTTCTCCTTCCTTTTCCATTCCCCTTTCCTTTTTCATTCCTTCTTTCCTCCAATATCTCCCTTTCCTAGTAAATCCATAAGCCCTTCAAGTTGAAGGAAAAGGAGGAGGAAAATCTCCAGCACAGTGAGAACCCTCATTTTTCTATGCCCACTTTGTGTTATTGGGAAACCCTCACATGATCCCAAAACACATGACCCATGCTAGATCTTCACTTGGGAACAAATGTGTCTGCATTCTTCATAACTCAGGTTTCAAAGAAAAAAATGTTTTAATTATCAACCATTTAAAAAATGTAAAATGATCAAAATAGTAATATACTTACAAGATATATGAAGAATTAAATTTCCCTCTAATGGTCTTTGAACTCATGGCATCAATTATACTTCTGTTGCTTTCTGGAAGTTTTGTCTTTCCAAAATGAATAATAGCCTGCAGTGCTTTCTTACCAGGTTATGACCATAAGTTATGCAGCATATATCAAAGCATGCAATGTATGCACTGGAATTTACAGATCATAAATGGACCTTAGTGATAAGAAACACACTGACCTAGTTTGAGAGTGAGTAAATGCCAGTTTTGGGGTCAGTTGCCATTCCAAATGGCCAAATTCTGAGACTTACAGAATTTTCTGGGTATGAGTATGCATACCATGTATATTGTCAACATACATACCTTATGTTCATCTTTTATCTTTTAAAAAAAAGCATTTCTCTTATTATTTTGGAATTAAAGAACCCCAGTTATATTAAGAAATGACATATTTACGCTATGAACATACTCAAGAAAAAAATAATAAATCCACAAAAAAGGGTTGATATCCTTAAAATGAAACATTATTTACCATAATAGGTGACTATTTCCCAAAACTAATGCTATTACCATTTCCATTTTGTCTAGTCCACACATATTGCAACTCTAAAAGACATCTCTAGTTAGTAAACATGTAGCAGGAAAAGAATCTTCTATTTAGTAGAATGGGCTTGGAGGAGGTGTGTGGTTTTAATGCTCCTATCTTAAAAAAAGATAGCACCACAATATTTACTGGTATCTATTCCTCCCATATGCATATTTAATAAGAAAATGAAAGAGGAGACATCACTTCTACACAAGTGTTTTTTGAAACTACAGCTGCTACTGGCAGAGATCTCATAACAGAACATGCTTTGTCCTTAGTAGAACAAAGAAAGATGCTGAGTATAGCTGGCAGTCTGTCCTGGCAAGAATAAGAGAAGGCACCATCCTCTCCCCCTCCCTCCCCCTTCCCCAGATGCCTCTTGGTTCCTTGCACTCTTTACTGGCTCTTTCCCGTTTCCTCCGGGGTAAGGCGAGCTGCCTGAGCACTTCAGACTCTGAGCACACAGGAAGCTTAAAGGCACAGGTCCTGACGGCTGTTTTCCTTTTCTTACCAATTAAACAATTTTTGTAATAAATATGAAATGTTCAACAAAAGGAAATTACAAGTGGAAATACCATTCCTCCATCACATAAAAAACTTTCTTCTTTATGTTTCCCAGCCTTTTCCCTGCCACTCACCCTTTGCTCTCTCCCTTCCCTTTTCCTTTTCTCACACTCTCCTCTCCTTGCCTCTAGTTTGTCTGACAAATGGTTTCTATTCCAAAGAGCCCAGTGTATGAAATTGGGGAATAGCTCTAGAAATGAAATAATGTATGGTGGCTTTGCTCCCGATGATTATAATCCCCTTCTTTGGGAACTGGGTATGAGAATCTCCAAGATAGAATATATTTTATTTGCCAGGGGTGGCAATCAACCAAAGCAGCAATTTTTCACATAATTCTAACAGCTTGCTTCGTGCTCAAAGGGAAATGTCGAAGACAACGAATGAGAAAATAGTTTGTAAGCAAGTAGAGAATATATTTAAACTTCATCAAAAATCAATTCCTTATTTATATATTAAGACATTTAGAGCATGTTTTTCTACAAAGTTCCGTTAACAAGAGAATGCTTCTATTTCTAGGTTAACTTGCTTCATACCGATTTCTATTATTCTGAACTTGAGGTTGAGGAATCAGATGTGTGTAATTAGACAGAGTGATTGTAATATCAGACTGATATCTGTTGCTGGCAGATTATCCAGAAGGCAAAAAAGGGACACAGGGAGTGCAGTGAGGTGTAGCCAAAATGACATACAGGAAGCCAGGATGCTGAGGCTCTTAGCTCATGGCTTCAGCTGATTAAAAGTGGGCTTGGTCACGTCACTTAACTCCTCAGAGCATCAGTTTCTTTTCTGCAAAATAAACTAGATGACGTCTGAGATTGCTTTTAGTTCTCACAGTCTACACTTCCTTTGTGCCCACAGAACACATTTTAGAGGGGAAAATGAGAAAAAAAAACAGACGATTACAAAAGAGGAAAAATATAGAATCTTATAGAAATAAATAAAAAATGCAGAAATCTGGATTTAGAGATTCAGGAGCCACACTATACAAAAGCCTCCTGAAGAGAATTTCGAAATTTTTTAAGTTCTCCCTTTTGAAAAAATGTAATCCTATTGGTCTAAGAGTCAAATGCTGTGATTATAAGATACTGAAAGAAAATTGGATTTAATGCAGTAGTGGTTCTGGAATAATACTCTGTCTTTTTTAATAAATCCATCTGTGGAATAATATAATACTGTACAGTCTGAAAACGGCATCATGGGAAAATGCTAGAAACAAACCTTATGATTGGAATCCTTTATGTGGTACTGAATCTCACTTGATTCTTGTTAGGTTTGTTTTGTTTTGTCTTTTGCTTTGTTACTACTCATCTGTTACAATAAGGAACAACTTTTCACATATAACATCTGATAACTTTTTTCTAATTAAAGTCTGGTTGACTTACAATATTATATTAGTTTCAGGTATATAACATAGTGATTCAATATTTTTATAGATTATACTCCATTTAAAGTTCTTATAAAATATTGGCTATATTCTCTGTGCTGTACAGTATATACTTGTAGATTGTTTATCTTATACGTAGTAGTTTGTACCTCTTAAGCCCCTCGCCCGAACTTGCCTCTCCCCTCAATCTGCTGTTCCTTCCATCCCCTTGCTACTGGTAACCGCTAGTTCATTTTCCATATCTGTGAGTTTGTTTGTTTCGTAACATTCATTTGTTTTGTTTTTTTAGATCCACTATATAAGTGATAACATACAGTATTTGTCTTTCTCTCTCTGACTTACTTCACTGAATATAATACCCTCCAGGTCCACCCATGTTGTTGCAAATGGCAAAATCTCATTCGTTCTATGCCTGAGTAACATTCCGTTGTATGTACACTGCATCTTCTATATCCATTCATCTGCTGATGGAAACAGATTACTTCTATATCTTGGCTATTGTAAATGATATACTGATAACGTTTGACTGGACTGTTATTTTTCTTTTATAAAACTGTTCAATATATGTACTTCTTTTTCTTATAGCTAAATAAATCATATTTTAATTTAATTTGTCTATTTTTTTTCCCTAGCCACAGTCAGAGTGGAAGTGGAGGTAAGCCACACAATTTTATCAGCAGTTTTCCAAGTCTTCGATGTTTTTGTGTAAATTGACAAAATGCTTTCATTTGCAGATAATGAGGAGGATCTGAATGTGGTAGAAAGAACACTGGACTGGAAACCAATGACCTAGAGTCCAGTCCTGGCCACTGAGTGACCCTGACCAAATCACTTCTTTTCTTCCAAGTTTGTTATGGGTCATAGGGTGCCTCCATTTCCAGAGTGCCCAGGGCAGTCTTGATTTTTGCTAATGGTCTGAGCACAATTATTAACAGTATCCCCCTTCACTTTCAGAAGTATCCTTGTTTGGATGACTTCTGTGGCCACCTTAGCTATGACTCCTAGAGACTCTTTGTTATCTCATCAACAAAATAAGGATATTTTACCAATACCTGGCAGTGCTAAACTTCTCATCCTAAAAATCAAATTTCAAGTTTATTGTACATCTTTCTGTACAGAGAAGGCACTCAAGAAGCATTTGTTAAATAAATATTTGTCAAATAGCAAGATTCCTAAGATTGTGGGACAACAAATCAAACAAGAAAGGATTTAACTTTTAACTTTGATGAAATGAAATAAAGAAATGAAAAGTCATCTTTCGTGCCTTTGTTTCAGCTCCCATCAGTGTTTACAAATTCACCTTTCATTTCCTTTGCTTTTCTTTACTTATATCTTGATCAGTATCCTTTTTCTAAATGTCTCCTCAGTATTAATTAATTTTTTGCTTATCACCTTCTCCGTCCTCTTTTTCCTCAATAAGTATTTAACTCCATTGCCTATTTAATTTCACTTTTTCTCTTAGTTATTTTCCCCTATTCCTTTCCTCAGCAGTGCACAGTACTCTTTATCATCTCTCATTTTTTTGTTACCTTTCACTTTGAAGAATTCCTTATAAAACAATTTTTTAAAACAATTAATTTATCTACTACCTTTGTGAGAGTGGGAAAATAAAGGTATTTTTTAATTTAAATAGTTGATATGAAAGAGGAGTGCTTTCTGCGGTTAAATAAGACAGATTATCAAATTTTGAGTGACCAATTGTGACCAAACTATGAAATTAACAGAAGATTTTTACCCCTAATTCAAATGAAGGGATGTTCCCACCTCCCCCAGATGATGATATTTATGATGGGATTGAAGAGGAGGATGCTGCTGACAGGTAAGAATAATCAGCTAATTGCCTTTCTGCAAATTATTGTGTAGACTGAAATTTAGTTTTGATTTCCAGTTAGAATAAATAGCAGAAAACAATGTTTCCTGTTACATTACCAAAAATTATTTGAATGTTTAATTAATAGCCATAGTAAATCAGGAAGTGTAATTGCATTACACTTCAAGTGGTATGTTGTTTGGAAGAACCTTGACAACCATGTCAAAAGAAGTGAAATGAAAAAGGGTTAAGGGGATACAGGTGTTGCAGATTGTTTTTCAAACTTTTCCCAGTCATTTATTTATCAGTCAATAATTTATTTCTACAACCATCTCTAGAGAGTCTGTCAGTTGCATGGCTATCCTTTGTATAATAATCAAGGGTGTGGGCAGTCCGAATAAATTGAGGTCATATGCTATCTGTAGCAAAACCAGATTTGAATACTTAATCCTTAAGGTGTTTAAACTTTTGAAATGGTGTACTTCAAATTTAAACATGTATTTAAATTTTTTAAATCCACTACTTAATCTTAATTATAGTAAGGCCAAATTAATGTTTAAAATTTAATCCTGACTTAGCTTGCTGTTTTAAGAACCAAGAGAAATCCACCAAATAGAAAAAATAGCTTACCTGCTTCTTACCTAGTAGCAGCAGTATTCAAAGACCATGACCTATGTACTTAATAGCTTTGTCTTGTTGAATACAATGAATAGCTTACTATGTGAATAATCAGTGCAGAATAATTATAAAAGCTCTGAATGTCCACCCATTGTCTTCACGTTCCATTGATGACTCCATTCTGATCAATGCCTACATGCTCCAAAGCTCCATGCCACAGGTTGAAGAGAAGAGTAATACGTGGTCCTGGGGGATTTTGAAGATGTTAAAGGGAAAAGATGACAAAAAGAAAAGTATACGAGGGAAACCTAAAGTGTCTGATTCAGACGATGAAGGTTCATTGTAAGGATCCACCAACCACCAAAGCCAGTGCACAATAACGACATTAACTTTAATTTAATCAAATGCTACTAATATTTTATAACCAATAACCAAATTCTGACGGGCTTAAACCATGTTAATGATTTTTTTTCATTAGTCTCATTTACTGTCACCCTTAAACTCATGCATTTACATAAGAAGAGCACAGTGTTCAAAAACCATCATATGGTTCAAAAATATATTTTGCTTTCCATTCAAACATGCACAAGTGAACACACACACCCTCACACACTCATACACACTCACTCCCTCCGTTTAGTAGGACCTTTTTTAACTATAGCATCACATCTAAAAGCTCACAATTCCAGCGCCACATTTTATTATATAATTTATTATGTTGACTACTCTTCAAAATATACGTTCTCTATTAAAAATTAGTTTGCTAGAAATAAAGGACACAATTTGGAATTTCTTTTCTCTAAGCACAGTATTCAAAGTCTTTGTAACTCTGTTTCACAATAGTGATATATTAATTCTACTTTATATATTTATCCTATACTAAAATTATTTGAAGTATTTTATTGTATAAATGAAACTAAAGCATAAATTTTATCATTCCATCCAAAAATAACCCTTTAGTATATGTTCCATACATATTAATTTGAAGGATCTTAATCACACTTGCTGATTCAGGATATTCCCATTGTTTTATATGTGCTTAACAGATTCACCACTTTTAGCTGAAGTCTTTTTTTTTTCCCACAGTGCTGCTGGCTTTTTATTTCCTTCTTGAGTAAAAAGTTGCAACATTGGTGCCCTTGTAAACAGACAGAACTGTGACTCCCAGTTCATCCCAATCTGTCTCAAATTATAAAGTGGATTGCAGGCATTTTAGAGAGCCCTATCATATATTTTTTTAATTTTTACTTTTTTACATTTTTTTTATTGAGTAATAGTCATTTTACAATGTTGTGTCAAATTCTAGTGTAGAGCACAATTTTTCAGTTATACGTGAACATATATATATTCATTGTCACATTTTTTTCTGAAGTCTTTATAAGGTGTTAATTCCACATAGAATTCCTGATTTTAAACCCTTTTGTGAGACACTAAAGCAACACACAATAAACAAGACACTTTATAAGAAAACAGGACAAATCTTCTCTTGATGTTGCATTACTCAAATATAGTCCTTACTTAGAACTAAAAACAGAGATTATTTTTTTCTGCTCTGACTGCACAACACCTAATTCTGATTTCAGATCACTTGAACTAATGACCTCTCACACTTCAGTGTAACTATGCACCGTTTTCCAGTGGTGTGTGTCTGTGTGTCTGTGTGTGTTTAAAGTTCAGAAAGTACTAAAAGCAAGGTCTTTTTCTGTTTCAACTAAAAGCCACCCAATCATGATTTCAGATCACTTCTATTAATAAGCTCTCACTCTCTAGTTCAATAGGTATTCCTCTTTTATTCACCATTCTTCTGTTTTGGGATATATATGTACATATTGGGGAAACATGGTCATACAAAGATTTCTATGACCTTTGTTGATTTTGATGTTTCATTTCTATTCTCTGAGTCAAGTAAACAGTTTTGGGTCTGAACTATGCCACAATGACTCCAAAATATTGAGTCCATTTGATTTACTCTGATACAATAATATGCCCAGACTTCATAGAACAAACCTGAAAACATTGGTCCAAAGTCTGTGGGCAAAACGAACCACCGGATGTCTTGACTCTTGACTTTTTTGGCCAACACTGGAGTTCAAAAAGAGTTTGGCTAAATTACAAATTGATGGACAAAAACTTGGAACTTAACAGAAAAATGGAGGATGAGAAAGGGATGATAGTCAAGACATTTACTAGCCTTTACAAGCCTCCGGGCTGTTACGTATTCCTGCCTCTTCTAAATAAAAGACTCAATTTCCGTGTTTACATTGATCTGATTATAATTGTGTTCTCATTTTCTTTTCAGTTTCCCTCCTCCTCCTAAACAAATGGGTATGTAATACAAACTAATTGTATATTTTATATTTCATTTCTTGCAGATGGGGTAGCAGAAAGGATTAGCTACAGTCTAGATATCTGAATTAAAGTCCTGACTCTGAAAGTAATGAACTGTGTAACCTTGTCAAGTAACTGCACCTGGGGTGCTACAGTTTCTCAGCAGTAAAACAGTAGGAAGAGGAAATTTTAAGATATCAATGGTTTTTAAACAGTTCCTTCAGACATAGGGATCATTATGAAGAAAGTGAGCATGGGTGGACGCCAGTTCCCCATGGACTCCCACCCCAGTTCAGTCAGAGCTTGATATATTGGGCTTCTGCATCACAGTTCCTAAAAACACCCCAGATTATATGCCACCAAGGTCCTTCTAAAACTAATTTTTTCAATTTTTTAAATGTATCATGTATATTACATTGGGAAGTATTCTGCTGCTAAATGTAAGCCAGTTTCTCCTTCATACAGTTTTGATCAGTTTATTTTTTTACCCCTGCTGAGATCTTTAAAAGATTTTTCTACAGTTTGCTTTGAGCAAAATAAAGTGTCTCACAAGAATCTTCAGGGGCTTTCAAAAAGTTGATTTGAATGTATAAATACATTGAAAGAGCAAACCCAACACAAAGGTAATCTGTTCTTCCAGACTGTTTCTCTGACTTTGTTTTCAGTTATCAATTTGAAAATATGTGAGGCTGTAACTCAAATTGATCAAAACTGATGATGAGCTTATATCTTAATCTATAATTTTCCAAAATATTCAAGAAATTTAGCTCCATGAAAAGTAGGTATTAAAATAGAACAAATGTGATCAGCTAAGTAAAAAGTGTGATTCTTGTTTTAATTTTCTTTCGTTCCCAGGTGTGTCTTAAGTGCATGTGCACGGAATAGTCATTTTTCCCCTTCTGGAAACCAATGATCTGCCATTTTTTTTACATATTTATTATAGTTTCTCCATATAGCTGAGCAAGTTTATCCTGTGAAATTAATTGACCTGTATGGAGGAAAATACACACGCACATATGTCTATTACACATATGTACAGTATATATATGTATATACAGAAAGAGAGAGAGAGAGGAATTTTTAAAGGAAATCAAATCCTCACCACTACCAGAGAGCATTTAAACTTTCTGTGATAATCATTCCTCAAAGCATTTGTACTTTCTTCAACTCATCTCTTCAGCCTAATTTGCTGTGGAGCAACTAAATAGATGCAGAGAGGAAGCATTTCTCCTGAATTTATTAATGAGAAGTATAGAAGGCAGAACAGTATCTACAGACTGGAAAAGCCATGAACCAGTTAAGGTCATAACAACTTTTCCACCAATACTGATTTTCCAAACCTGCCGGTATTAGAAGCATCTTTTATTTTAAGGTGATGCCACACATAATATTTTGCTTGTATTGTTTGTTTGCTGACAGGGAGTTAATTAGGTTTATTCATTGATTTCCACTTGGAAGAGGTACTAGGGATTGAACCCAGGACCTCCTGGGTGCTAAGCATGCGCTCTACCACTTCAGCTGTACCCTTACCCCGATGCCACACATAATATTGCAATAAGGTAAAAGTTTATGAAGAGCAGATCAATAAGTAAAAAAGAATGATAGATAGATAGACAGAAACTTAGACATAGGCTTGTAAATGATGTGTATTATCATAGCACCCTAATTCCCATGAAAATTTTAATTTTAATCTCTTCCTACTGCCAGTGGCCAGAAATATTGTTTTGTTAGTCAGCAATCTGCTAATCCTGCCATTCAAAATATTTGTGGATCTTCAAATAACCTCAGTCACTACTTTGAGAGAAGGTTTCTGATAGTGATGATTACAATCATGATTACTGTTTTTTGAGGGAAATTTAAAGCAGGCATCAAGGGAGATAAGAACCTCTCCCTTTTAAGGTACAGGCAGTGCTTCTAGGAGAAATGTTCAGAAAGCCCAGGAAAACTTATTTTGTTGTCCCTAAAATAATCTTTATATTAAAAGCATCATCGAAACAACGAGGTCCTACTGTATTGTACAGGGAGCCATATTCAGTACATTGTAACTGCCTATAATGAAAAAGAATACGAAAAGGAATATATATATATGTACAACCGAATCACCATTTTGTACACCAGAAATTAGCACAACATTTTAAATCGTCTGTGCTTCAATAAATTTTTTAAAACCATTGAATGCTCATATCAAAATTTAAACTAACAGTGTTTCAACATTTGATATTTTGTCTTTTGTTAGAAATGGGAGACGAAGTTTATGATGATGTGGATGCCTCTAATTTCCCTGCTCCACCAGCAGAGATGAGGTAATTAACATGTTCTCATTACAATGAAGTAATGAAAATCAGACTGCTCAAGAAAATTCAACTGGAATAAAACCCCAAAGGGATGCATGTCTACTGTGTGCGACCATTCACTCTGTCCTCCTCTCCCTGATCCCATCTCTAACGTCTCTGCCAGGTTTGTGAATGGATGGACCGCTCAGATCCTCCTCCTCCTTCTCTCTCTCTCTCTCTCTCTCCTCCCCTGCCTTTCTCCCTTTGCCTCCCCCTTCCCCATGGTCCTTCTTCCTGTCCCCTGATTATCCTCCACCCTTTGCTTACTGATGTCTGCAGTCCATTTATTCACTCATTCACTGGGAAGATATTTGAGACCCTGATCACAACTGATGTCACCAATTCATCCCTTAACTTCAGTTTTACTTTTTTTTCCCAAAACATTTTTTGTCTTGAATACACTGCTTAGTTCATGTCTCAACCCTCATCCACCTGGTTCAAGCCTCCTCCATCCTTCACAAGAGGGAGAGAGAGGATTTGTATTTTGAAAGGATTTTTTAAAGTTACGTCACTTTTTCACAAAAGCATTAGATTCTCAAAGGTTCCATTCAAAAAACAAACAAACAAAAAGAGACAGTAAACAGTGAATAGTGACTCTTCAGCTTACCTAAGGCTCAATTTAACTTTAGACAAAAATTGTAAGAAAATCTAAAATCAGTTAATACAAGAAGAGTACCTTTTGAAACTTCTTTTGAAATAGAAAATAACATGGTAGGATGCTTTTTTATACTCCAATAAATGTGTGAGATGATCTGATACATACTATACATAAAAGCAAGAACACTTCTCTAGCTTTTTCCAGAAAAAAGAAAGATAAGAAGAAAGATCTTGAACTTGATTAGTTAGGGATGAAAGTAACATAAATGGAATACAGTAAGTCTCATGCGCTGTACTGGTAAAAACGTGTGAGTGAACTCTAAGTATTTATTTTTCACCAACATTGTTAAATTAATTTTTCAGAGCAAGAGGCAGTATCAAGATCAAAGAAACTGAAGGGAAAATATGCTGTTGTTTATATATGAAAATCAAGTTCTGTGGGCAAAACAAAGCAGAAAGATGAAAAGAGAATCATTCTCCCTTTTCAGTTCCCCTTGAAAGGACAATCTCATCTTCTTCACTGATATGTGGTTTTAATATTTCTCACCACCAGGAAGATGCTTCTATCCCTGACAGTGTTTAATGGATTTTTCCATTTAATGCTGCTGTAGAAATGCCACCACATTCAATTAAATAGTTCTCTAGGAACCTGGAGTCACAACGTTTGCCTTTTCTTTAAGCACAGTAAACCCCAGCTGGTTAAATTTTATATGATATGTACTGTTTTCTTTCCCACTGCTTATTTTCAGAATTTAAGACAATTGTGTGTTCCCTAACATAACATTTTGGCTTTTTTTAATTTTGAAGTTTTTATACGATTTTAAAGGTTTCTTTCCATTTACAGTTATTACAGAATATTGGCTATGTTCCCCGTGCTGTACAATACATCCTTGAGCCTGACACCCAGTAGTTTGTACCTCCTCCTCCTGCACCCCATGTGACCCCTCCCTCCCACCAGTAACCACTAGTTTGTTCTCGTTCTCTGTGAGTCTGATTCTTTTTTGTTATGTTCACTAGTTTGTTGTATTTTTTAGATTCCACATGTAAGTAAAGCATTCTATTTTTTAATAAATTATTCTCAAAGAGGGCTTGTGGGGCATTTGTAACATTCATATATCTTCTGATTGCTTCAGAGTGCTAATCTGGGCCAGCAGTTCCACTACTGCCCAGGGTATCATAGGACGGAAGATACTGAGGGGCAGCGCAGGCCCTCGGGCAGCATACTGTGCTAACTCATTGGCCAGTGAATGAACTAAATTCTGAGAATCAAAAATTAAGACTCAAGCATTTTAAATAAATCAGTTACAAACAAAACTTTATCTTAGGTAATCAAAATAAAAATTAATATCAGTGTTTAAAATTTTTCAGTATTCACGCATATTCTGATTTTTAAAATTCCCTCTTGCAGAGATTCACAGCCTTTCCCTAACATCCGTATTTGACCCTAGGAATGGTTCTCAACCTTGGCTGCAAGTTAATAGCCCCTGGGAGCTTTTAAAACATGTATGCCAGTGCCTGGCCCCCACTCAGTCTAATTAATTAGAAATTTAAATTAATTTAATTTAATTAGAATTTCTAGGAATTAGACAAGGGCAGATGTGCTTTTTAAAAGCTTCCCAGGTGATCCTATATGTGGCCAGGCTAGAGAATTGCTACCTTAGACCTGTTCACCTCTCTTGTAACAGTTAGCTTTAGTCCAGTTCGTATCTTGAGATGTGACCCTGGCTTTATTTTTAGAAGGTATAAAAAATTAACAGATAGCTAAACTTTTTAAGCTATAAAAGTCAGTCTTTCAAAAAATGTTCTTTTTTTAAAAAAAGCCTTTTCTATGACATTGGCCAAGGCACTTAATTATCTAGGAAGGATTGGAAAAATATAAGGAGTTCAAGAATAGGTTGAATCTTATGAAACTGCTGATATGTAACCATGTTTAAATTACACTTCAGTGATTTTATATCATTCAACATAATAGATAATCTCTTCTACTTTGACTCAATCTGTATTCTCTTGAAGAATCTATTCTGCTGTATGAAATGTCATCATTTATTACAATGAATTATTGGACTTCTAAGAAAAATAATTCATTGAAAATGAAATTTAACAAAACTGTAATGTTATAAACTAAGTGTCTATTATATACTATTCTTTTTATATTTTTAAAGCTAAATGCTGTTTTATGTGTGTTCTGCCATTCTAGTCTAGGAGCCAAGGCCAAGTCAGAAGAAAAGGACCTTAAGAAGCTAAAAAAGCAAGAAAAAGAAGAAAAAGACTTCAGGAAAAAATTTAAAGTATGTTTCATTTAAATATCATACAAAGTTCAAAGTGCTAATGAAAAAAAATGATGATTTTTAAAAGTATAGTTATCAGTATCACAGTTATTCATCATGTCTTTATTTTCTCCAAAATTTATTTTTTTATTATTTTTTAATGAAGATACTGGGGATTGTACCCAGGACCTTGTGTATGCTAAGCACTCACTCTTCCTCTGAGCTATACCCACTCAACCCCCTACAAAATTTATTTTAGATATTAAATTTATATTTAAATTTATTCCTATAACAAATTAGGCAAACTCTAATACATGTACAATATATATCCTGCAATAATCATCTAAATTTAGCTGTCCTTTGAACCTTGATAAGAAGATAATCTAAAAATAGAATGAATAAAAAAGATATAGTATATATATCATGGAATATTATTCAGCCACAGAAAAGGAGGAAATCTTGCCATTTGTGGATGAGCCTTGAGAGCATTATGCTAAGCGAAATAAGTCAGACAGAGACAGAGACAAATACTGTAGGATGTAACTTAAATGTCGAATCTGGGAAAAACAAAACTTACAGAAACACAGAGTAAAAAGGTGGTTATCCGAGGCTGTGGGTGGGGAGCACAGGGTGATGTTTGTTGAAGGGTACAAATGTTCAGTTATAAGATGAATATGTTTTAGGGATCTAATTACAGCATCGTGATTATAGTTAGTAATGCTATATTGAATACTTGAAAATTCTTAAGAAAGTAAATCTCAAATGATCTCACAACAAAAAAGAGATGATATTAAAAGTCAAAAAAAATGGTACTTATGTGAGATGATCGAACCAATAGAACTAAAGGTATGATGGTTCATTTTGCAATATATGAGTGTGTCAAAGTAACACATGTACATCTTAAACTTAAAAATTTTTTTATTTTAAAAATAATTATTGTATTAGCTTGATGAGGTTATCAATGATTTTTCTCCAAAAAAGTCTTTAATGTTCTTACATTGTCTTTTGAAAACAAGGAACTATTTATTTAACAAAGCCTTTCTTAATAAAGTTGTCAATAAATGAATTACTTTAATAGCACAATCAATCAATAATGTAAATGTTTTTCCTTACTTTTCCAGTATGATGGTGAAATTAGAGTCCTATATTCCGCCAAAGTTGCACTCTCCTTCACTTCTAAAAAGTGGGGGAACAGAGACCTACAGATAAAGCCTGGAGAATCCCTTGAAGTTATACAAAACACAGACGATACGAAAGTTCTCTGCAGGAACGAAGAAGGAAAATGTAAGTCACTGCTTACTCTTCACAGATGTGACACTCCAGAATTTAACAACGAAACAAGTTTTAGTGATCACCCCTGTGTTTATTAACTCTTTTTGCTCCATGCTTTGTGAATTGTAGAGAACATTAAGAAATGGGAGATCTTGCTGTGCTGGAATCAGTGTATTTTATTTTATTTTATTTTTCATTTTCCACCTGCTATATTTGGCACTGAGACGCCAAGGTAATGCCAAACTAGTGCTTCTGGAAATGTGGCCCCACAGCCCGCCCCTCCTCCCCAGCATCAGAAAACCCTTGTGCGTGTATTAAAGTTGCAGTACCATGAACCCACCCTTGGCTTGCTGAGTCATAAGCTCTGGGGATCAGAAGCAGTCTGTGATCATAACTTCTTCCCCAGTTTGTTTGCTCTTATGTACACTGATGTGAGAATCATTGTGCTAAAGTAGTGAGTGGTTCTTGCTCTGATTTTGAAATTATATCTAATATGTCATACCTAAACTTTCCAGTTTTCCTACCTTGTAAATTCACTTGTTTTCATTTCCTTCTTGGACACAGTTAATATGACCTACTATTCCCCATAAATACAAAAGAGTCCTATCCTCTCTGACTTTATCAGCTGTTAAAGCTGACAGATGGAAATGCTTTTGTGCAGTTTTAAAAGGAAACTTATTTCATTTAAAGTCCAGGGAAGAGTAATTCAATATTAAGTTGTCCTGTATTTAAAATTGGATGGCCAGCATGGCTGGCCCATATCGGCTCGGTAAGTCTGCACAGAAAATGCAACCTCTGAGTCCAGTTTTAATGACAGGAAGGTGACTCAGGGACAGGAACCAAAATGGAGTTTTTAAGAATAAAACACAGTGACTCAAGGGTGGGGAAAATGGATCTGAAGTTTTTATGGACAAGGTGTGGTCAGCTTTTAAAAGGAAAAAATTGAATGTGGGTTACAAAGGATAAAAGGCAGGGGTATGTAGTATTAAGACTTGAAGCTCACTGGAGAGAATTCGTAGACAAAGCTCCTGGAGACAAAGAAAACCCCCATTCAGACCAGAATTTGTGAAGATGTACCCCAAGGAATAGTCTTAAATGCAGAAAAACTACATGCTTTTAAATGTCATCAAAATATTTTAAAAGTTCAAAAATTTTTAAACTATGAAATAAGTCATGACGAATATACCAAATTGAATATTTTATAGGATGATTATGATAATAACATGAGGAAATTCTCATGATACAATAGTAAGAGAAATAAGAAGCCTGCTTAACATAGTATAGGATTTACAGTCATGTAAAAATAAAATAAAAGAAACGAACCTAAAATGCTAATTATGCTGATCAGAGTGATAAATAAATAAATAAATGCTGAGTAGGGTGATGGGACTAAATGGTATGTTTTCTTTCCTCTACTTTCCAAATTATTTCACATTTTTCACAACAGAGCATTGTCCTAGTACTTGTCATGTGGACCTTTCTCCAGAGGACAAGCTTCAGACATATCTTGCCCTGCTGTCCTGAGACTCCTGTCCTTAGCAACAAACCCTATCTAGAGCCATGCTCCTGAGCTTCAAAGTACATGCAGTTCACGTGGGGATCTTGTTAAAAATGCAGATTCTAATTTAGTAGGTCTGAGGTGGGATGTGACATTCTGCATTTTCCCAAGCTCTTGGGTAATTGTTGCTGCTGGTCCGTGGAACATGCACCGAGTAACAGAATATAAATGACTTAACAATAAACATGTGCAGGTCCAGATGAGCAGGGAGAGATACAGCATCAGAAACAGAAATTCGGAGGAGGCTCCTATCTAGGAACCGGTACACCTTAAGAATGAGGAAAAGCAATAGCCATTCAGGGATGATTTTGTAATCTGCTCTCGTTTTCTATTTGGACATCGGTAATTCTAAATACTGTCTGAATACTGGAGGGCTCCTGTCCTCTTAGAATTTATCATCTGTTAAAAATGAGCTGAGAACAGTACATCAATTTCTGGTAGATAAAGTCAAGGGTTCCATGTAACATTTATCTTTTATCTTTTTTTTTTTTTGGTGCAAGACCAATGCATTTTACAATTCCCAAGTTCACTGGAAACTAATTCAGTTCTTAGGGGTCCATCGCAAACAGAATGGAGACCAGATGACTGTATTGGTAGCACTTATGCACTTGTTTTTTATTTAAAGACTTTCTTTGGGCTGGGCTTTGTCTTAGTTTGGTTTCCCCATTTGGGAGGTGATTCTGGGAAACGCCTGAAGGCAAGTGTAGAAGTAGCCTGGGAAGAGAAGGCAGCTGATAAAGCCTTGTTATCAAAAAAGTTACCACTTGGGTAGTTGGAGCTTAATTAGCTGGGAACTCGGAGTGGCATCCAATGGGAAACAAATTGGGGTGTTTATACATCACCTCCTGTCCATCGGGAATTGAAGCCTACTCCTAGGCAGGTGGCGAGTCATTCGGGATACTAAGCAAGCTGATAAAGGGAGTTCTGGAAGCCAGAGACAAGCCATCAGTAAATGAAAAATGTAAATGATGTCAGCTGAAAGTTGACACAAAGCACTGAAGTGGTAAGGGTGAAGGTAGGCGGGAGGGACACCGGGAAGCATCTGTGATTGCATTATTTCACCATTTAACTATCATATCTGCTTATTTTCACTTTTATTTTTCCAAATCTCTGGCTTTTCTTAATTTTTCTAAAACTGTTGCTTATTCTTTCCTTGAACTGGATCCCTGACATTCTTCATTTTCTTAATTTCTGGTCCATTCCTCAAATATCTTTATAGGATTTGGGATGGTTGTCGTATGGATCTAACCCTCCGTCACCTGGGTTATTGCAACAGCCTTTCTAATGAGATGTCTACCTTACCCTTACTCTCAGCCAATCCACTCATCACACTGTTACCCAAATATTATCTTTTAAAATACAAAGTCTTTAGGGTTAGTACATAAAACCCTTTTCTGGTCTAGCCGGACCCTCAGCAACTATTTCCCATCTGCAACTGATGCTCCAGAAATACAAACTGCTTACTTGTCATTCCCTGAGTACATTATGCTATTTCACCCTACTTTGATATTTTATTCTACTTGGAACACGCATAAATTATCTATTAAAAACAATCCAGTTGTCATCTAAAATTGGAAGAACACTCACTCCCTCCTCTCCAGGAACCCCAGCATAATCTCTCCCTTGCACCACCAGGCTTCTGCTTTTATTGCTATAATTGTCCTTATTCTCTTAGCAATCTATTACTTTTACTAGACTCTGAACTTAAGAGTAGCTTCAGTGAAATGTTCTCAACATTGTATTGCCAACACATTCTTCGCCTCCTGGCACCTAGTTTGGGGCTTTCTGAATTGAGTGTACAATTCGGAGATTGCATTTGGATAACCAGATGAAAATCTGACACATTGACATTCACAGGAAGAAGTCTGTTGAACAGTTTAGAAGTCTTATTAGAAGACAGAATTTCTTTGTCTTAGCCTTAGTAATGTGGTTCAGTTGTTGTGTATCATTTGGGAACCTCTAAATCTTTCAGTTCCTTATTTCTACATCTAATTTGCAGCAATAGCATCTGCAGTCCAACACCATGGTGACCTGAAGATTGTCCTTACTTTCTATTCTTTAATCCAGCAAAGAAAACAAAACCATAATTTACTTAAACCTAAATTTGTAATGATAGAAATCAGAGGCCAAAACATTAATAATAACCCCTTCCCACTGAGGAGTAGAGTAGAAGCCATTTTTACAAGCATTATCACATTTGATCAAATCTCAGCCACAGACTTGTAGAAGAGCACATTGTAGAGGTGTTGCGTCCTTAAATATATATCTCTGGCACTTTCCCAACTGTTCAGAATTTCTCGCCAATGTTTGTGAGTATCAACGTCTCATAAGCTGTGAGTTTTCCCACCTCCTGACACTGGAGAAAATTCTTCTATAAAAAAGTGTGAAATGAGACATGAGCTGAGTTATTTGTGTTCAAAATGTTCTCCATTTCCTCTGGGCATCAAAGACAGGGGAATTTTAAAGGTGCTTTAGATGTTCCCTAATCCAACTGATCATTTCTTTGTTTAGGTAATTTTTTTTTCCATTTTAAAACAGCATATGCTCACTGAAGGAAAATTTTTTATTCAGAAATTTTCAAAGTCACTGATTTGAAGCCCTAAAAAATAAGTAGGGAGATAGAGAAAGAAGAGAGAGGGAAAAAGAACATTTTTCTAAATGAGGATAATTTATATTTAGTATTATAAACTGCATTTTGTTTTTAATTTCTATTATATTTTGAGCATTTCCCCCTTGAAGTTGGACATTGTTCCATTTGCCTGGGTAAATCTATGTAATATGATTTTATTGTTTTTAAACTACGTGAGGCCAAATTGAGTAAATTTAACCTTATTTCTGGACTTGCTCACGACAAATAAAATAATAGGGAAATAATCAAAGTTGTCATTTTTATTAAGTAAAAAATTTGAAAACATTAGAATGAAGATATTTTTCATTTCTCCAAAGCTTGTTTTGTATATCCTTGGTAATTTTATATTCACCACATCCTTCTGAAAGGTGAGTCATTAGTCCTAGGACACATCTGCACTGTAGCAAGTAAACATTTTGGGAAGAAATTAACTGGCACATATGGGGGGGTGGGTGTTACTTTCTTGACTAGCTCTATCCCACCACATATTTCAAAACATTTGTTCCAACCACTGTGTTCTGCTGTATGAATGTGAGGTTTCCAAATAATAATTTCATACTGTGTGTGAGAATCCCTGATGTGCCAGTGCTCACAGCGTTACAGGGCTAACTACACACAGCAGCCACTCTACGTGTTACAGAACTCTGATGAGGTTTTTTGTTTATTTCATTTGTCTTTTCATTCACATTCCCTATGATGAATGTACATGGAAAGAGAGCATTTTTCTACTGCAAAAAAAAAAAAAAAGATTTTGTTTCTAGGAACTATAATGGGGAGATTATATAAAAATTCATGGTAAGTCACTTGTTTTGGCAGTCATGAATCATGATTTTAATAGAATGAGGTTTTAGCAGAGATTTCTAAAGGTACTAGACAGCAAAACCTATGCTATATTAAAAGTCATGAGCCCTGTAAAAATTCTATGTAATAGTGATTTTATAACTAATGAGCCCCAAATTATCACATCATTTTGGGGAACTAAAACAGAGCAGCACCGTCCCGTCCCACACTCCAATTCCGTGATACATTTGTTCTTAAATCATATTCAGTCACTGATGTTTATTTGTCTCACACACACAACAGCAGCAGCAACATTGGAGCATTCAGTAACAGAAAAAGCTGTTTCTTAGAACTCTTGAACAAACAAGATGTAGGAGGAAATGTAATAGGGGTTTGAGAATCCAAGGAAATTGTTTTTTATAAGTAATTTTGTGAAGGAGGGTAATTATGCTGTTTATCATGAGTTACTAACTTTGGTCATGGAAAGGACTGTCTTATGCTTGACTACAGATAGTGTCTTGTCCAGGTCTACAGAATTTTAGCATAATTGAGTTTTAAAAAATAGATTGTCAAAAAATATAGGAAAATAAAAATCTTTAACTTCCAAAAATGATTATATTCTGTTTTGGATTTTATTTCTCTTAATCATCCAAATATTGAAAAACAACAACAGAAAAATGCTTGATGCCAGACTAATTCCAGTCTCTGGCAATATTTTCTAATTTCTTATACATTTCTCTAATTATCTATCTCTTAATTTTAATTCAGGTATTTTACAGAGTCCAAACAACTCACATTAAGATTGACCTCATTGTTAAAGGTTTTGGTCGTTATTTTTAAATCACTAACTTAAACATGAATATCATGGGAACACTTACTATTGTATTGTTTTCCAATTTGTTTTAAGAGAAAATTCAAAACCAAAACAGAACCACCAATTTTAACTAACGAAAAAAAACATTTGTGACCATTACGGTCTGTGGAGACCTGTTCACCTTTTATTTTAGCCCCAAACATAAATACAGGTAAAGACAGATTTCAGTTATTGGAACCCTGAAACAAAATCCACAATTTGTTCTCAAAGTCTGTTATTTGCACAGGTTTCCTCTTTTGGGAGACACATGCTGAACTGAGTTGTTTGGAGATGAGCTTATCCCCCTTTAAAAATTATGTTAAATTATGATGTCCACCTTAATTTGTTAAAAGTCTGTTACTATGAAATGAAAGAAAGAACTGTGATATCAAAGGATCCTACCCAAGAACCATAGGTATCAAGTTTAGACGACCTTATGTGAATAATGTTTGCCACTTTTGCCTTAATCAAAATAAAAAGGAAGATACAGCATAATCTAATTTTTCATATACTGAGAAAAGTATTACTTTATTGTGCATTTGTCATTGTGACACATGCCTCATTACTTGCATACTACAGGAGTTCAAAGATAACTTTGATTCTTTCTTTTCCAAATATGATTCTTATAAACAGTTTTCACAAAAAAGTGGTAAATTTCTTAATAAAATATCTTGGAGGGTTTTTTTACCTTGGAATATTCTTTTATTCTTTCTCTTTCTCTTTCTCACTTTCGTTTAAATGGAGGTGCTGGGGATTGAACCCAGGACCTCATGCTCAAACTCTACCACTGAGCTATACCCACCCCTCTACCCTGGAATATTCTAAGGGAAAGTTCATTTCCTTAAATTAATCTACAATTTCAGTTTTATGATTCTAACTTTTAAAAAATTTGCGTGTTAAATAAGTGGCAATATGACAGTAATATGTTTAAGTAAGTTTATTATCATTTGTATTAATCTTTGCTTACGAGCTTGCTGATTTCTGATTTTTTTAGACATTTACTCTGGTTTAGAAACCAAAACTAGATCTGAAGTGGACCAAAACCAATCAATTGAGTCAGTGAAAGAAATTATTCAGAACCTGTATTGACAAGGCTATAAACAGTACTAATCTCCAGCATACAATAATAATGGTTAGGCACTAACACAAAATTAAGAATTCCAAAGTTAGTAATATTAATTAGGTGTCAGCAGACATTTTCTGAAGAAAAATAGTCCATGTTTTTTTCTAAGGAGTATTTTGCACAATATGGGCAAATGTAAAGTGATCAAAGAAATCTTTGCTTTCTTTTGTAAAATATGGTCTATTTTTCTACCTAACAGAGGAATTACTAGAATCCCTATTGTGTGTTCTTCTAATAATGATTTGTTCCATGAAAGATGAAAACGCGAAGGTTGCCACTCTGACAAATGGCAGAAGCAGCAGTGGAAGACCTTCCACACCGATTGTAAGAGAGCTGTTCTGAGACCGTTTGGAAAGCACACCCCCCCTAAGTAACCACTAGATTGCGGATCTGAAAGGGTAGTTGAACACAGTTCTGACTCTGCTCAGTATAATAAAGTTTGAAAAGTTAAGTCTTAGAACTGGTGGTATTTAAAATCCCTACCTATGGACTACTTTTATAATTGGAGAAATTATGCTTCATAAATTCTTCCTACAACTGGGTCATGTGGGTAACACCTTGAAGAAATAAACTAAAATTTGAAAGGTGCTTGTGTTCCAACCTGCAGTGGCTTCAAAAAGAAAATATTATTCTTTAATTTAAGGGGGAAAGGAGAAAAGATTGTAAATGGAAGGAAAGAGGCATGTAAGAGAGAAAAGTTAGAAGAAGAAAAGAAAGGGAGAGAAAAGTGGGCTCAAGTAAGAAAAATGAGTCATATTTGGAGATAGAGACAATGATTCAATACATTAAATTTTTAATTGCTAAATTCTATTTCAAATTCTTAAAAGAAATAGTAGAGATTTTTCCAGATTGTACTGTTGATAAAAATTTATTTTCTTTTTCTTCCTTAGATGGTTATGTCCTTCGGAGTTACTTGGTGGACAAGTAAGTCCATTTTCTTCTACTACTATACTTACAAAAAGAATTATATGCTTTTATTTTTAAAAGATTCCTAATATCACTTAAATAACATACTAAGCTACCATGAAGAAATTTTAAAACAATATTCTATACTAATGTCAATATAGTAGTAGCCATAATGAAGTTAAAGTTTTCATAAAGTGTCACTCTTTCAAATATAGAAGAGAAACAATTCTCATTCATGATTATACAGCTCACAGTTTAATATCTTCATTGAGACAGACATTGCAAACATAGGAGACAGACAAGTCAAAACCATTAACACTTTCATTAACACTTTGATGTCACTTAGTATCAATGCAGTTGGTTGAAATGAATTAATCAGGGACCAATAGTGTCTGCACAGTAGGTATAAATATCACCTGTTGAGTGTTCATGGTTGGGCCCCTGATTGAGAGCTTTTCTTTACCCACACCAGGCACAGTAGAGTATTAAGTTGTCTTTTTTAGAAGCATGCCAGAAAAAAGACAGTGGTCAATGATTCTTCTATTCTTATGAATAGGATGTTGTCACAGTCTGGTACTAGTGCTACTAGAGTCCCCCCAAATGTAAGATTCTGTTCAAGTAAACCAGTACAAGAAATGAACTCATTATCAGAGTAAGGCATATGTCAATACAAAGATTTACAGAATTCTGTGCATAATTTTAAAAAATCAAGGAGTATTTACAAACTGTATCCATAAACAACCTGACACCAATCAGGAGACAAATCGATGTTTAGTGCTCTGTCAGCAAACTAATAAAGAGTTAAAAGAAAGACAGTCAGAGCAGTAATCACAATGGTAGGCGTGAGACTTTTCAATAGGTTTTATCCCGTGAAAGATAGAAATTTCAAGGAAAGAATGTGTGACAAATAACGGGACCTCTTCATCAGTGATTATTACAGGATGATTAAGAAAGAATTTAGAAAATGTACTGAGTAATTATTGCTTCTCCACCTATTGAAACACTTAATAAATGTTTATTGAATGAATGACAGAAAAATCTATCCTCTTTGCATTTGCATCATATTTCCATTAGTCAAATCCTCCCTCAATCTCAGAGAAAGGATCCGAACAGAAGACATAGGGAACTCACAGCATCTGCCATAGCTGGCAGCAATTTGAAAGGCCTGCTGCTGCTTCCGTGATAAATGCACAAAGGTGGTACAAGAACCAAGAGTGGGTCTGGTCTAAGTGACAGTCACCTTACATTTCTGAACTTTGAAATCATATCCTACTTTTCAAAGCTGTATTAACATTTATAATACTTTCTATTTTGATTATTGTGTATCATTCTTTCTTCTATTAGATTATAAGCTTCTTGAAATCAAAACTTGTGTCTTACTTATATTTATATCTAATGGAACATAGGAGGGACTCAGTATGTGTGTGGAATAGAGTATTTCCCAAAGATTCAGGACCAGATAAAACCTAAAATGTGTGAAAGTCACCAGAACTTTTATTAAGAATGCTACCTATAACCATAAATACTGCCATTAACATTTTAATCATTATATAAGATAAGAATTATCATACTAACTGTATCCTGGCTACTACTTAATCAATATTTAAATATATTGTAATTAACATTTACAAATTATAATTAGAAACATTGCAAAAATGATACACCCATTTTCAGTGTTAAATATGGTTGTATTTCATTCAACGTTTGAAGTTCAGATGAAAGTAGTATAAATCTGATATAAAGAATATAAAGGATTCATTGTATTTTTTGGATTAGAGCCCCCAGTGGAGTACTGTGCCATGATTTTTCAGTTTGCTCAGTTCAGCAAACACTTCGTACCAAACACAGCTGTGTGCTAGGCTCATGATTTAATCTAAAGATGGGTAAGGTATGGTCTGTGTTCTTGGGGAATGTTTTCATTATTCTGTGTGTCTACAATATGGAATAAATTGGGTGTTGGTTTTTTTTTTAAGAATGAGCAGAAGATTAGATTAAGTCAATGAAAGGAGATGCAGATGAATATGAAATTTCTTCTCACTTCTAAATGCATATGTAACTTCTCACCTTCAAATGCCTTGTGTCACATAAAATCATTGTATTAAATCTTTAATCTAAATATTGCTTTAGTGTTAAGATTTTTTATTAAAATAAAAATTATTTTCTACATTTACAGTGATGGAGAAATTTATGATGATATTGCTGATGGTAAGTCTCATGCAGCATCCATTGCAGAGAATAGTAATGGTGAATTTTCTGTTCCTACAAATACTGGAAACAGCTAGCTGAATTAATTGGAGCCTTCCAATCTGATCAGAATTTGAATCACCTGAAAATGTTAGGAAGGGTAAATGCTGCGGTATAATGAAAAAAAAATTATTTTTATACATGACTGGAAATCAAGGAAATTTTTCATTTATTTTCTTTGAAAACAAAAGAATGAAAATATTTGGTGAATTTTTTCATTATACCATGACTCTTAAAAAAGAATTACTTTTATCCACAAAAATGTTTGTACTTGGCCAATAAGCAGGTACTTATTTTATAATCTGTATTACTTACTAGTATTATCTAAGCATCATACATTTCTAAATTATGATCTAAAAAATTAATGTCACCTGAAGCATAGTGTTAATTACATTGTTTTAAACTTATGATTCTTACTGATATTTAATATTTTCAAACTCATTCAGGATGACTATCAAAAAGTACATTTAATTAAGTGTCAGGTAAAATAATCCTGTGTCTTATTTTGATAGAGAGTAGATCTGTTTAGAAACTTGGTTGGAATTTTACCCTGAGCAATGAAATTTAAATAAATGTATGGCCTTCCGTTTAACTGCTTTTTCATAAAGTGATCCAGCTATACTTTTTTTAATCCTAAACCAGGAGAGTATGAATCACCTATATTTCCAACCTTGGAACATTTAGAGGGTGTATGTTTTGTATAACTGTATTTAAATCTGTATTTTTTTTTCTTTCAGGTTGCATCTATGACAATGACTAGCTCTCAGCTCTGCTCATTCTGCTGTGTTCATTTGATGCCAATGTGAAGTCTGGGTTTTAATTGGGATATTTTACTAGGTATCATAGAAAATGAGTACACAAAACTACTCATTACCATTTGTTATAAAATTCTGATTATCCTTTAGAAAATGACCTCTGCTTAATAACATCTTGGAAGAGTACATCAATGAGATGTGAGAATTATTAAGTGTCCATTTCTGCCTTGGGTACAACTGTGAAGGCACTTCTTCTAGACCATCAATAGACAACTTTCCCTTCCTAAGAAAATATCATTTGAGAAGAAATGACTGTTGTCTAAATAAATATAAGCAAGAACAATAAAGAAATATAAGGGAGACAATTTTTAAACTTCCCATAAGAAGGAAAACTATTGTTTGTGCTTCTAATTATGATCATATCTTAGATTCTGTATTCAAATTATCCATCTTTAAAAAAGCATGGGTGTCTCCTCTCTTACTGGTGGGTTAAATATTTTAAAAAATTATAGTAGTAGCAGAACTTCTGTGTAAAATTTGTCCGTATTTGTTCATTGTTAATATGTTTTAATTATTTGATAAGAATGTTTGCAATTAGTATGCACACCTAAGATTAAAACTGTTGAAGAGTCTAAAATGTCTTCTTTCTGCAGTTTCATGTGCAAACAGTATTAATAATTATAATTAATAACTCTATATTCTCTTTAAAGTACTGTTGTAATTAAAGTAGCTGTGAATGAAGACTACCCTAAAATTATGAAGAATGGAGCAGTGGACTTTGACATTAACTAGCTGCTTCTTCTTTTTCCTATGCAGACTTTTAAAGGTTTTCAGTTTTTTGTTTTTTCAGTTACCTCTATGGAAAAAAAAAAATTTTTTTTAACCAAACTGGAAAATTGGCCAGCAGAGGGAGTACAAATTAATAAACCTTAGTGTTTGGGCTAGGGTGTTTGCTATTGGTACAGACTCATTTCCAAAGTAACCTGAAAACAAAATGTGAAGCATTTGGGTTCCAAATGCTAAGAACACTAACCACCACGATACAAAAATGCAAAAATCTAACACCCAAGAAAATAGCATATTGGGAAATTTTTTTCACCACTTTCAAAATACTGAGCTAATCCTAACGCTGGTTCTGCTACTAATGAGCCATGATGTGGTATTGGGTAGATTATTTATCCTCCCAGTTTTCTCATCTGCCTATTAGGATTAGGCCAAATCCATTTTCCCCAACTTTTTCACTCTTAGTTACCTCAGACTTCTCTAATCCTCTACCCCAGCCCTGTGTTCTGGAAGTTTTGCTTATTTTTAAAACTCATCGATTAAATAATGATGAATGCATTATCCATGTTTTAATATTGCAAAGGTTCATTGGAGAGTCTGAAGAATGGCTGTGCTGAACTGAGGAAATTTCAAGTAATTATAATGGAACTCAAAGTCTTCATATGGGTAAAGGGAGATTTCTATTAGGTGCTTTGAAATTTAAAATAGATCAACTACTGTTGTTCAATGTATACATTCTGGGAGTCTGAGACCTCCAAGTTTAGAAGCTACTGATCTCAAAGACCCCCACCAATTATGAAATATTTTGATGTCCACTTTTTGATAGGGGGAGCCAGTGTATGTTCATGTGATGAATTTGATGCTAGATAAAATTACATCATCCAAAAGTTTTTTTGTTTATTAAATTTGGTAACAAATATGCATGATACACTGATAGTATATTTCCAGTAATTTTTTTTCTGATTGAGAACAGTATAAACTTAATACAATGTCAGTTTTTAAAATTCCAAATTAGATAAAGGGAATATTTTTGAGTTTTGGTTTATATGACATGAAACAGACACATGCCTATGAAAGATTTATATAATAGACAACCCTCTTAATATAAAAGATATATCTGAAGTATTCATTTTAATGTACTAAATATTATTTCTATTACGGTTTTATGTAAGGAATTTTGTCATGTGAGAAGAGTGCCAAATAATACCTTCAGCAGATAAATTTGCCTCCTCTGTATCCAGAAATTGAGGCCATCAGCCTTTCTGTCCCCGTAACTTGATCCCACAGCTACAAAGAAGTCTTTCTCTGAGCTCATTCTTATTTCTTTTAAAAAGTTTCCCCCTCAGAGGATGGGGTACCTCCTGTTCAAGACCAAACCTTCCACCAGCAGTGCCCTTGATACTTTGCCTCCTGTTTTGTGGTAGAAATTGAGATAAGCAAGTGCAGTTCCTACAACATACAGCCTTAACCCATATTCAGACACTATCCCAGAGAATCAGATGTCACTGCTCAGATTCAAAGCCACAGCCTGTTATCCCATGTCTTCCTGCTTCTCTGAGTCTTCTTCCTCCACAGTTAATTCATGCTCAACCTCTCTCTCTCTCCTCTTCCCCATTCCTCTTTCCCTCCTTCCCTTCCTCTTTATTATCTTTTTTATCTCCCTCTCTAGGCTTACAAACATACTGAAGTCTTTTCTATTTGAAAAACAACAGGAAACTTTGCCTCAAATCCAAATACCTCTCTAACTGCAACTCATTTCTATCTTCCTTTCCTCCTCCCACTGTCTTAAAATGTTAGGGGACATGTGGCAGCCAGGAGACTGTGCCTTACAGACCTTCAGCCATGGAGAGCTTAGTTAACCAAAGGCCCCAGCTTCTGCACTCTGAAATCCATCACCACAGTTGTGCCAACCCTGGCCTTCCCACGGACTGCTCCTGTGTGGCCAGTGATTGAGCATGTCATGCTTGTTCCCAAAAGATACAGAACGTTCCGACAGCCTTGCTAACCCTTCCTTACCCTGTACAGCACTCTGAGATGCTTCTACCCAACCATCTCTCCCTCCTCCCTTCATGGGGTTGGACGTGCTTTGCTGCCTGATGGCTCCTCCAGCCTTCCCTGGTTCCCTCCCGTTTCCTCCGACCCATGTATGTGCTCCCCTCTCCCAAAATTACTACGTTTTCACCCCATCTTGTGTTTACTTTCCAGAGGGCCTGCACTGAACACAGGATAGCTAGAGTATCTGTTTATGAAAATAAACATCCTCGTCCTCAGATCAACTGAATCAGAATCTCTGGGGAAGTAACTTTTCAATCAATTTTTAATTAACTCTAAATATGAATTGGATGTTTAGCCAGGTTTGGGAACCCCTGGTTCCTGTCCACCCTCTGCCACATTCTCAAGTTACATTCAGTCTTCAACTGACTGCGATTTGGTCTCTGCTACAATCACTCTAAAGTCATCTCTACGTGGATGTCCCACAAGGAACTCTAACGCGTAGGTCTCAACACTGAACTCATCCTCTTTCCTCCTTTCAGTTGATGATCCCTGCGGCAGATTCTGTCTCAGTGACGAATCTGTCACCCATTCACCCAAGCTCAAAACCCAGAAGTCGCTCTGCTTCTGCTCTTTCACTCTCCATGTCCAATGAATCATTAAGCTGAGTTCCCCCAAAGCAGACGCGAACCTATTTATTTTAGACTCCTATGCTTTACATGGTACTGGAAGCCTTTCGCTATATATTTGATAAGGAAAGAATAAATGATGTCTGCAAAGAATGTGTTACTCCAGTGGGCTGCCACTGTAATTTTTCCTTAATTGCTGATTCAAATGCCGTAAGAGATTGAGCAAATTGATGGCTGAGGAATGCCGCTGAGATTTATCAACATGTGGGTCATAGGTGACCTTAGAAAGCCTGAAGCAATCAACACCAAGCTGATTGCAGTGGTGTCACCGGTGGGGAGGCAGATTTTGAGGCAGAGTTTGAGGTACAGATGTCTATTAGGTATCAACATCTGTGAAAGGAAGGGAAGAAACATGATTGAGCAGAGAAAGCAGTTGAACTGGGATCCAACATCTTCAGCCAACCAGATGGGGACCTCGGGAATAAACGCTACCCATCCGAGTTATCCCCCCTTCAGGCCAAATGGCCAGTCTTTTTACTTGCACCTTGCTCATCACCATATGTGGTTCCCCTAGAGAGGGCATGACCTCATGCAAGATGACACTGAGGCTGAGCAGACCCTGAAGGAACAGACAGTTTGAGGAGTCTGCAGACCACACTCCCCTCCGCTGGGCAGCAAGTCCTTCCTTGAAGATGTTCTAGCGGCCTATGTCCATGAATGGATTGAGAGGTGAATGGAAGGTTAAAAAACTGAGACACATAATGGATGCCTCTTTCCAGAAAAAAAGGTCTTTTTTATTTTGTTTTGCGGAATTGTTTGTTTCTAAGACAGAAAAGACTTGAGCTTTTCAAAAGCTGATGGGAAGGATCCAGCTGAGAGGGAAAGATAAAAAGGTAATAGAGATAATGGACAATTAGAGAGTTAATTTTCTTGAAAAGATAGAGGTTTGAACAGAAATAGAGTCTGAATTACAATTTTTTTTCCTCTAACAAATTATGTCATTACATCTGGGAAATGCTAAGCATTATTCTGGACACATCATAAGGACTCAAATATTATCACATTATTATTATGATTAATTTTGAAATACCTGCTGATCCTGCCTGTATTGTCACAGTCATGCCACATAGCCACATAGTAACTATGTATGTCATTTCTTCTGCCTCCTGCTTGAGATTACCTGCTAGGTTATGTAACCTTGAACAAGAGTCTAAACTTTGCTAAGACTCAGGATCTTCATTTATAAAATAAGAAAGTACTTGCTTTACAGGGTTGTAAAAATGAATTGAAACTATGTACTTAAGCATTTAATACAGTGTCTGAAACGTATTAACTTTAATCATCATCATCCTGCTTGCTAGTTTGCTATTTTACGTTTTAAACATGTCATGTGAATGAAACCCTACTGAGATGAGCGTTATTTTAATTATGGCAAGCTTGCTCTGACTCCAAGTTACTTGCCAGCTGATTTTTGAGAGTAATAGAGACACACTTAGGGTTAAATACAATAAATAAAAATGAAATAATAATAAATAAACCCAATGTCTGGGCCAGGTCCAGTTTCTACATCTGAGTTTCACATTAAGGTGTGGACATCACATTTTGTTTGGTATTTCCTGCAACTCCCTATGTTATAGGGAGAAAGGCATCCTGGCTTTCGTAATACAGGTGTCTATTTTCTAATTCAGTAAGTTCATCTGTTTCATTGGGGAAAATATTAGGCTGTGTATATGGTCTTCTAGAGTAGGAACATAGCCACAATCTTCCAGCTTTATTGGCAAAATTGGCAAAACAATGGATGCACAACAGTTACCTCTCACCTCTAGGGATTTGTCTTCATGCAGCAATTCCTCTGTAACTGTCTCCACAGCCTAGTGAGTGAGAAGAGTTTTCCAAATGTCAAAAAGCATGTTTAAACACCAACTTGTTAATGGTCTGCCTACTCCAGTTTAGGTAACAGTTCAGTCAGAGTTCTTGGCTGCAAGCAACTGAAATTAACTATTGCCTCACTCACAAGTTGAAGTCCCTGGAGAGAGAACGCCATTAAATGTGCTTAAGTTATGTGCCTGCCCATGTGGTGGGGTCACGGAGGTTCCTAATGCTTTGGCTCCCAAGTGAAAGAAAATCACCTAGAATTGTCCTCTCAAATAAGACTATAGTCGCTGGTGGAAAGATAATTTCCCAATATAAAAATCAGAGTGTTATATTTACCTGGCAGGGGAGATACCAAATG